GTGCCTATGGTACGACAACTTCTCTCCGTGCCCCTGGTACACTGCGCAGAAACACCTTGCCCCCCCCCCCCCCCCCACACACACACACACTGATTTACTTGTACTGTAATACTGCAATTTGAGTTTTTACTTACCTCCATGGAGAAGCGTCTGTGCTGGGCCTTGCTGTGGTAGTGGAGGTGGGATGGAGACTGAGCTCCTGGAGTGGTTGGTTCAGGGCTCACTGGGCTGACATCATGAGATGGAGGACCCAGTCTGTCTGGAGTCAGGCCTGACAGAGGGGAAATATAATCAACGATGGAGGGCCACCGAAAACTCTGAGAACAGCTTAAGATCTCAGTGGGATACGTTCTCAGAGAAATTTTCTGGAGAGAAGAACAAAATTTAGTTGGGTTCAAATCTGGTGACTGTGAAAACATATCACGTGAATTTGAAAGTTTTTAATTTTTAAAGTTGACAGAACAGTCAGCGACTGGCACCTCAGCTCCTGTAAAGCGTCGGCATTCGTTGAGTTTAAGCAGTAATTCACTTCGGGTTTCTCTGCAGTCGTGGTCCTTTAATCACACAACTACAGCTGACTTTCAATATCAAGGGGAAACATCCATCCCCAACCCATGTAATTAAGTCCGACTTCAAAGCTGTACATCTGACCCTGACATCCATGTGTGCACAAATCTGTGTTTTTCCCAAGAAAACTGCCTTCTCCTTTTATGTTTAAAACTCTGCTTATGTACTTCAAATGCTTGTGTGAAATAAGGACTTTTTTTTAAATGCCCAACTAAACGCCATGTTTACAGGGTGGAACAAAATTTGTGTGTGTGACTTTTTTATTTTTTACAACCATTTTAATGAGACTTAAAGTTTGAATGTTGACCTGATTTGATTGACAGCTGTGCCAGCACAGAGGTAGTAGCTCCTCACTGTCCATAAGCTTCATCTCATCTGCAGCCTCCAGGCATGCGTATGTGCATTAAAATACAAAGCGCCCCTGTTTCCATGGGGATACTGGTTAACAAGGGAAGCAGGTCTCGTGTTAAGGAGGAGGTCTCAGAAGGAAGGCTTCTTCTTAGCTTCCGCACAGCACACACACTCACACATTTATATGTATACATGCTAATTTACTGTGTGTAACTATGGCCTTTCTCAACCTGCCCACACACACCCAGCTCATTCATATATACACACACATATAAACAGATAAAGCAAAACTAGAGGCAGGTGCTCAGATTTGAGCATGCCTGGTTGAGTTTGATGCGACGTTTTAACAGCACCGCCGAGAGGCTTTTAACAAGCCATGCTATGCGTTGTATTCAGTGACTGTCTAAATGGGCCGGGGGGATGAAATGACAACCTGTTTGCTGGTCATTTGAATATCACAGCTACAGCACTCCTTTGATCTCTTGATGCTAATCAGGGTGGGTGAAGGTGACACTGATATGAACACGCGCTAACAAAGTGTCACATTGCTGTGAAATATGGATGGATGCCTGCTAGAAATCTTGTTAGAAAAAGGACAATCCAATATGGTACGCCGCATGATGTTTTTGTAGCATTTCCATCTCAAACTGTGCTCATAGTGAGAGGCTGAAATAGGAACAAATGAGCGGGGAAAGAAGTACCTTCAGTACTGACTTGGACATGTTAGATTATTTGCTTTGCTTTTCATCAGTGTTGTCGTCCGCACAGACAATTGACTGAGAAGAATTTCTGTTCTGGTATAGCTCCTTAAGGGAAAACACTTGACATTTAAATATCACACTTATACAAAAGCATATTCAGCAAAGCGGCTTTAAATTACCCATTAAAATAAAATCACTCTCACGTAGTTTCATGCAAACAAAAAAAATATTCCTGCAATGTAATATAATTAATTTTATAATGACTGAAAACAGCACTGAAAGTGTGTGTTTTTGTTCATGTGTGCATGAATCTATAGGTTATGCTGATGAGCTGATTGTACTCTGTGACTCGTCTCTGTTTGATGCTGCAATGTTTTTTAAAAAACATGTAATAGAAACCAATGATTTGACAGGATACACTACATTAAAACTATTATAGTATGGATAGTGGGATCTTATAAGTTGAGCCTCTATTTACATCTTTATGACAAAGTACCATCGTATTACTACAATGATAGAGACAATTTACCAAAACAACATATTATGCAACATATACTACACTGTCCTGCACTATTGTACTTCACTATTACAGCGCTGTAGTATAGGTCTATATGTATAAGTAATTTTTCATCAGGTGTTTTCAGTCCTGTTGCCACACGTCTGTAAAATCATTCAGTTAGTCATGTAATTGATTGTATTTTAACATTGCCAGCTAATGTTTGCATGACTTATTTGACCACTTATACACTGCCGGTCAAAAGTTTGGACACACCTTTTCATTTAATGGGTTTTCTTTATAGATACAGTCATCAAATATATGAAGCAAGATATATGGAATTATGTGGCAAAGAAAAAAATGATCAATAACTCTAAATATGTCTTATATTTTAGATTCCTGAAAGTAGCCACCCTTTGCTTTGTTGACAGTGCTCCAAACCGTTGGCCTTCTCTCGATGAGCTTCATGATGTAGTCACCTGAGATGGTTCTCCCTTCACAGGTGTGCATTGTCAACTGTTACAATTTATATTATGGTAAGAACCAATCAGAGAAATGAATAAAGAGAAATGACAGTCTGTCATTACTGTCAGGTCAGTCTGGAAATTTTCTAAAACTGAATGCGTCCCCAAGTGCTACGAGGAAACGGGCTCACATGAGGACCGCCCCAGGAAAGGAAGACCAAGAGTCAGCTCTGCTGCTGAGGATAAAATCATCCAAGTCACCAGCCTCAAAAAGTTAACATAAGTTAACAGCAGCTCAGGTTAGAGCCCAGAAAAATGCCACACCGAGTTCCAGTAGCAGACACATCTCTACATCAACTGTGAGACTGTGAATCAGGCCTTTATGGTCAAATAGCTGCTAAGAAACCACTACTAAGGAAAAGCAACAAGCAGAAGAGATTTGTTTGGGCCAAGAAACACAAGGAGTGGACATTAGACCAGTGGAAATCTGTGCTTTGGTCTGATGAGTCCAAATTTGAGATCTTTGTTTCAACCCACTGTGTTTTTGTGCGACGCAGAAAAGGTGAATGGATGGTCTCCACATGCATGGATCCCACCGTGAAGCATGGTGGAGGAGGTGTGATGTTGTGGGGTGCTTTGCTGGTGACACTGTTGGGGATTTATTCAAAACTGAAGGCACACTGAATGGAAGACTAAGAAGGAGAGCGATGGAGTGCTGCACCAGATGGCCTGTCCTCCACAGTCACCTGACATATGGAGGCTGACCTCCAGTGGAGATGGTTTGGGATGAGATGGAGCGCAGAGTGAAGGCTAAAGGACCAAAAAGTGCTCAGCATCTCTGGGAACTCCTTCAAAACTGTTTGAAAACAATTTCAGGTGACGACCTCATGAAGTTCATCGAGAGAATGCTAAGAGTGTCCAAAGCAAGAATCAAAGCTAAGGGTGGTTGTTTTAAAGAATCTAAAACTACTGTAATTGTCGGGCTATAAGCCGCTACTTTTTGCACAAGCTTTGAACCCTGCGGCTTTTAGTCAGGTGCGGCTTTTCTAAGGATTGTCCATGATTTTTGTCATATCTTAAGAGGATTTGTTTTGTTTGTTCCGCTGTTCTCCGGCACTACGTTGCCTGGCGGAAGGATCGGGGTTCAAGAGTGGTATGTTGGTCATGTCCGTCTGCCAGGCAACGTAGTGCCGTACGAAGTAGCGCAAAAAACGAACTTCAAAGTAGCGCTACGCGTTCAGCGGGAGGCGTGGATGATGAG